ACTAACTCCTCTAAGACTTTCAGGAATAATTCTGTCTAGCAACTATTTCCAAGATTAGTTAGCCTGCATTTTTCCACCCATTTATTATATACTATAAGATCATTCTGTATTACATGAGCAATTTATGTTACTGTACTTCCCCACTAAAAATATTTATATGCTTCGCTGTTCCACTAGTCACCTTGCAACACTACTAGTAGAAGACAGTGGGATCTACACTGACATACTAAACTGAGCTTGTGGTCAGAATGAGAGAATAAATATCCTTTGAAGCAAGAGTCTATTATATAAGTTCAGCTTGCTTTCACATGGGATGGAGAGAGGCCCACAAACTTAATCAGAAAGATACTACACAAGACCCACTAAAAGTAGCCACATCATCAGTTTCCTAAAGCACTCGTATTTTCAGCAGTGTTTGTACCTCTTCTCATCAGAATTACTTGAATCACCACTTTCAGATGAACCCTTCACAAATAAACATTGAGATCTTACAAAGATCTTACAGCACTCTGGTATTTTTTTCCCACTGGTCCTAAGAACATCTTTCCTACAATGTTAATACTATATTCATAATATCTCATGGCAAAATGCAAGCCATAGAGCCCATATGAAAGAAAAAATTTCCTTTCCAAAAAAGCCCATCAAAAAACTTGGAATGTAATATAAATTAGTCAAAACAAAAAGACAGTAAGAAGTGAAAGTCTCATTTAAAAATAAAAAAAAATACACACACAGGAAAAATATCTGAAAAAGCTGCATGACAGGTAACAGGAGAAGGAAATGTAAGAAATCATGAGATTTTGACAGTCCTATAAAAAGCATCATTTTTTTTACGTATACAAATGTAAGCACTGATTATATGCTCCAACGTCACTACTTACATAAGGATATGGTGCTATTTTCTTTAAAAGTGGAAATCACTGAGTATTAAGGCCCCTGACCTTCAAAAATGACTGAGCACAGATGCACTACATTGTTCAGAGGGCAGGTCCTGTGACAATATTGCTACGGTAACAAATCCTCACGCTTTTAACAGGCACTCCAGAAATGCTCTTTTAACAGCCAGTCTCACCACCAGCATTAAAAACATCCTTCTCTTTTAAAGCTTATCCGCACAAAGGGATTTTTAAGGACTAAGGGACACCCACTCAAATCCATTTAAGTACTACCCTCTGAATAAGATATAGTCAAATAACACTCAGCATTTCCAGGAAAATCAAGTAAAACCCCTTCAAGACAAGATAGACAAGTGATATTTATTGTCTATTAAAAGATTCACACTGGTGTTACAGAACACAGTATCTATTAACTTCTTTCCGTATCTTTTGTACACACATTCAGCCTTAGACACCAAAGCAACAGTATAAAATTCTACCAGACTGCTCAACTAGTGAAAACCCCTAATTTAAACTGAGACATATTTGTTCTCCACATAGTAATCATTCAAAGTTAATTTAACAAATACTGTCTTCGATCTTGGGAATATAATTGTTTTCTAACAGCCTGCAGATGATTCTTATCTATTTTATAGTTTCAGAGTGCCCATCTAAAGTTTCCACAAGTTAACAGCATTTTTTTTCAGAGAGCATCAACATCCAACAATCTGGATCATTACTGAAAACTTCTGTAACTTCTGAAAAACATTAGACACTGCAAATGAGAGTACTTCTCCAGTTAGTCTGAAGGAATATGTAGCAACAGCCTTTGCACATCACTTTAAAAAAATAAAATTGCAAAATATATATATCAAGACACTTATTTGCATTGCTTTGCTAGTTAACTTTCTGAACAGACAGGTCTATTTTAAAGTCATAAACAAGCACAGTTTGGAGAGGTAGAGAGGAGTGGGTAGGATACACAACTGCATAGAGGCCTATAAAGCCTCTTCAGTCATCAAGAAAACTAAAAGTGTCTTTGAGATGTTGTTTAAGGAACAAGAGTACCATCTGCTTCGCAAAAACTGGAGCCTGGCATACGCACTAATCTTTCTCGTAGGCTGAAAAATCAATTCTTACAATCCTTAATGTATCAGGTGACAAGCCCACACGTAAGAGATTTTCTAAACTGTTTAAAATACATTTCAAAACAATCGCACCGGTCCTGAAGAATGCTCACGCTGCTGACAGAGGTAGGTGGCACAAAAGAAGGGCAAAAATGTGTCACGAAGCGACCTCCACACATCACCTATAAGCATTCCTCCCACTGCCTGTCCAACACGTTGGAAATGACAGACTTTTACCTTTCAAAATAAACCCCACGCCACCCGGGGAGCGCTGGGCTGGATGGGAGCAGGCCAGATGAGCAGGCCGCTGCCAGCAAAACGCAACATTTATTCCTCCTCCTCCGAACCGCGTCCCCCGGGCTAACGGGCCACGGCACCCCCAGGGGCGGCGAGGCCGGCCGCCGAGCCTGGCCGGGCACCGAGCGCTGCTGGTCGGGGACGCCAGGGCTGCGGCACCACCTGGGGCTGCTCTGCCCGCAGGGTAGCCGCGGGCCGGGAGGTAACCGGGCCCCCACCGCCCGCCTCAGCCCCCGGCACGGTCCCGGGCGAGACCACCACCGCCAGGGAAGGCACCACAGGAGAGCCTGCAGCCCTGTGCCCCTCCACCAGTACCCGTACCTTGCTTCCACATAGCCACCTCCCTGCCGCGGTCCGACCCGACCCGGCCCTGCCCTCCCCGGCCGCCGCCGCGCACACCCAGGCCGGCAGCGGGAGGAGGCGGCGGCGCACCTCCCGCCTTCCACGCACCCCGCCCGCTTGCCTCGCACCGCCACCCTTCCAGCGGCTGGGCGCCGTCCCGACCGCGCCCCGAACCCGCCCGTCACCGCCTCCCGGCGGGGTGCCCTCACCTCCGGGTGCAGGATGGGGACGCAACCCGCTTCTTTCTCGTACTCCTCTAGCGGCGCCGCCATCTTGGTGCGAGCGCGGCGCCCGCTGCATGCCGGGTAATGTGCGCGCGCCCGCTGCGCCTACTGTCTCACCCGCCCCGGGGGAGGAGGGTGTGCAGTCGCCGGGTGGCCCGTGCCTTGCTGAGGAGGTGTGCGGCAGCGCGGCATGTGGGGCCGGCTCCGCCGCCGCAGGCTGCCGGTCAGCGCCGCCGGCGACCGCCGCTCCCGTAGGGGCGGTGCCGGAGAGCCGCCCTGGGAGCACCGCCCCTACGGGAGCCGCGGGCGGCGGCGATAACGGGCCTCGGAGCCCTGCGGCGGAGTCCGCGGCGGATCTCAAAGCGGACGGCCGCAGCTGGCGGATCGCCGGTGGGAGAGCTTCGCTGCCCGCCAGCCTGTTTTCCCTCAGGCCGGCCTTACCCAGCCCTGGCCGCTTGGGGTGGAGCCGCAGCCTCCCTGGGCGGCTCTGAGGCGGGCAGCCGCCGACCAAAGAGAAAGCAAATGTTTGGTGGATACTTTGTTGTTTGGAGGAGCCTGTCACTTTTTGGAGATACCAGTATCTCTTGAAATGGATACTTACTAATTTAGGTTTTGTGAGGTGCTTCAGCTTAATTAAGTTCATTATCATTTGGACTGAGAGTGAAAAAAGAGCTCCCCTGCACGTTTAATGCTGATTTGGTTCCAGACTAAGTAATTCCTGTACGGTTTTCTCGTGAAGTTATCTTGAAGCCTACTGGGTACTGAAGAGAGCACAGGAAGAAATCAAGAGTTTACGAGGCTCTCCCTCTCAGCTTCAAGAATGTTTGACTCTCCCCCCCTTCTCCCCAGTGTCTGGCAGGGGTTCCTCCCAACCGTTTGTACCCATCTGAAGGGGTGATTCCTTGCATCCTGTCACACATGCCATCCAGATGGCCGAGCTCTCTGCTGCGGGTTCATGGGTCAAAGCACATCCTGCGGGAAAAATGGTTTGGTTCTGTTTAGTTCATCATTTCTGTGCTTACAAGCTGTGTAATACACAAATACACATACAGCCAAGATCAGGGATCCTAACGCTCCTCATTTCAAACTTTTTTGTATAAATTACATTTTTGTTTTAAAAAAAAAAAAAAAGTGGTTTTACAATTACAGAATGTTACTGCTGGTTTGGCCACTGCTTTTTATTGTCATGTCTATGGTGCTCTCGTTGGCCTTTACAAGAAAAGGAACTGTAGGTAATACATTCTGTTGTATCATAATACGTTAAGCTCATAAGCCTGAAACCCCACACTGATGTTCTCTTTGTTACTCTTTCGTATCTCATACAAAATGGAACAGAGAAGCACTAGTAAAAACTGACTACAGAGTTATTAAAATGTTAAGCCATAAGCATCTTTTTGCTGTATAAATATATTTACATTTGTCAGGAAGAAGAATGATATAGGATTTAGAAACTGATGGTGTGAAACAGGTCTGAAAGCATAGACTCAAAGCATGGTTCAAGGTGGTCACGTGCTAAATGAGCAGAACAAGACACGGAGTGTGTAGGAGAGAATCTTTTTTTGACTGTGTGTAATACTAAATGTACCAGTGTTTAGATGTAATTTGCAATCTGATTTGCCTGAAGAAGAGGGTTTCCAGCCCCCTGCACGCCCCAGAAATAGAAATTCCATCAATCACAACAGTTCTTCACTCATATTTATGATAAAAGTAAGGATGATAAAGTAGCCAATAATCTTTATAGAATTTTTACTATGCAGACTATTTTGCCTTGCAAGTCTGAAGAAGCTATGCTTCATCCCATGGCTCTGAACTGCATTGTAATGGTAGCTGTTTAGGTATTCATAGCTGGTTCTTCACAGGTCTACACACTTTGAAACCAATTTTTTTCTCAGAGACATCTATACAGAGAATTTTTGCAATTAAACTTAAGACTCCATCTGTGTGTATAGACCCCAGCTGGAGCACTGCATTCAGCCCTGGGACTCCAACACAAAAGGACCATGGAGCTGTTGGAACGAGTACAGAGGAGGCCATGAAGATGCTCAGAGGACTGTAGCATCTGTGCTACAAAGACAGGCTGAGAGAGCTGGGTTTGTTCAGCCTGGAGTAGAGAAGGCTCTGGGGAGATCTTAGAGCAGCTTCTGGTACCTAAAGGTGGTCTAAAGAAAGCTGGAGAGGAACTTTTTAAGGGACATGTAGTGACAGGACAAGGGGAAATGGCTTTAAGGTGAAAGAGGGTAGATTTAGATTAGACATCAGGAAGAAGTTCTTTACTGTGAGGATGGTGAGGCGCTGGCACAGGATGCCCAGAGAAGCTGTGGCTGCCCCATCCCTGGCAGTGTTCAAGGCCAGGTTGGATTGGGCTTGGAGCAACTTGGTCTAATGAAAGGTGTCCCTGCCCATGGCAGCAGGGGGATTGGAACTGGATGACCTTTAAGGTTCCTTCCAACCCAAACCATTCTGTGATTCTGTGATTCACATGCAGCCTATCATATCCTTGTTTAGAACCAAGTGTCCTTTCTACCACCAGTATCAGCAGAACTAGAATACAGGAATGTATAATTGCGCTGGCATTATAGACAGGTTTACATCAGTACAGAGTGAATGAACAGGAGATGCAAACCTAATCTGCTTCAGTAACAAAGTTGACATCTCCTTTTCAACAAATCTAGGAGGCTGAAAGGTTACATGTTTTTCTGGACTTTGCCAAAAATTCACTATCTGACCAAAAAATTATCTTACCCTTCTGTTTTCTTTGCTTACTTGTAAATTATGTACTTTGTCACCTAATTCAGAGAGGTACTCTGAGAATTTAGTGTTGTTGCAGAGCAATTTAAGGCTGTCAAGTTAAAGATGCCTTGTAAATGCCAGGAATTATTGTTGATCGATGAGAGAAAATACTCTTCTGCATGGTTGCACTCAGTGGTCCATGGCTGGTAAGTGAACTGTTTCACATATTGACCAGAGGTTTTATCCAGCGCTACTTAACTAAGCAAGTCTATAACATTGGCTAAGTACTGCATGCACTAGAAAATGATTTTAGATTCCAATCTGACAAAAGGAAGACACAGGTCACCAATACCACGGACACACAGATTTTCTTCCATTTGTTTTGGCTTACATTAATTAGCTGTGAAAAAGGGGACAAGTTCTGGACACCTTTTAATTTTCAGGCAAGCCAAAACACTGCTGAGCTGCGGAGTCAACAGCAGAAATCTTATGATTCCCCATTCTACAGCATGAATTTTACCTTTTCTATCAAACTATTAGGGAAAAAAAACCTTTGGAAGAGACAAGATGTATTTCTAGAACACACCCCCACATGTGTAGTTCAGTACTAGGGATGACTGTGCAGCTATTTTAGCTCCTGTCTCCATTAAACTGTGAAATGTAGCAGTGAAATTAAAAGCATTTAACATACATGTCTTAGTAGCAGTTTTGTATTATGTTTTTGCCATTTAAACTGATTAAAACTGTGAATAAACAATATTTTCCATTGCAACTAAATATTGCAATTAAAGCTAAGTATTTGCTCTCCTGGCAAGGCAAAACTTAACATGAACATATTGGAATGTCTCAGTACAAAAATAGGTGCTAAGTAAAAAATACCCTAGCTAACCCTAAAAGAATGAGTATCTTTACAGATCTGTGTTTGTCCTTCACTTTTCATACGTAGTTTTCATTAATCCTGTTCTAATTAATACACCATGAGATGGATTTGCCACCATACTGAGTCCTCTCTGAAGTTTTCCCTTGCATAGACACCCCCAAAAATATAACAAGGGGCTAAAATACCTGGGAGCACCACATTGTGTTCCTGTTCTCTGAGTATTTACAGAGGAACTATGAGTAATTATCTTCATTATTCACAATCTACACTGCATTTTCTAACCACATTACTGTCTGAGTCTAGTGTTTTCTGTATTGGAAATGACATCCATCCATCTAACTGTGTATACCAAAACAAACGTATGAAACATGTCATTCTGCTTGGGTTTACCCAGGTTCATGTTTTTCTTTCTGCATTCACTCCCAGATGGAGAGCATCCGGTTCTCACACAGTTTGGACCAGTTTTGGCAGCTAAAAACCGATGAGTTTGGGTTACTGAACCCCACAGGTGGCCTCCCCTCCAGTCTGTTCCTGCTGCTGGGTTTTGAAAGCATTTCCATTACATGTTTCTGCAGGGCTAACTACAGTGGTAACAGTTACCATGTTCCTGAGTGTTTAAATACGCACTTGGCTCAGAAACATACCCTTTATAGGCTGTGTAGGGTTTGCTTCTCTGAGAGTACCAGCATCTTTTCATTGTTCTAACATCTGCCTGGTTGAAGCTCACTCTCTAAGCTATGACAGCACAACTCATATACTGCACTGCCACCAATGTCTCCCATTTTTGGCTATTGGAAGGAGACAGTGAAACTTGCTTCAGTAATTTCATTTTAATCCCATGCTGTAGGCCCTCAGCATCTTTAGAATCTCTTACTCACCAAATCTTCTCTCATAGCAGGAAACAACCAGAGAGAAAATTCAGGTGAAACTAGTGAGCTGCTTTCCATTAACAGGGAGAGATTCACAAGTGACTTTTTCCATCCAGTATGAACAAAGCTGTGGAGAATCAACTCTGTTGGTATGCCCATTTTTCTTTTTGAAAAGAGGTGTCCCTACTGTATGTGGCTGTAGCTGAGACAGGATCATTACACCATTCCTGGGTTTCCTTTCTTTGGTTGAGATAGGCTGTGATGCCCCAAAATGCAGTTTAACAGCTTTGAGAAAAATATTTAAACTGGTGACAAACAGCTCTTTCGCTGTGCTTGGCAGAGGGTGATACTGTCACCAGAAGTCAGGAGAATAAAACTCCTTAATACCAGTGTAGCATTAAGAAGCAGGCACTTCTTTATTGCAGGGTTGAGTGCTAGGTGGAATTTCCCCAAATCAAGCACACCCCATGCTGATTTCATTGTTACATTTATACATGAAAACTACAAGTTATGATGATTGGTTAGTGATATACATACCATTCTGATATCAGCAGTGTCATTCTCTTCTGTTAAATCATGCTTTTGTTGCCAAGTTGGCTGGTTAGATTTCTACCTTTCCAGGTTGTCAAATAACTCATCCTATATACAATAGAGATGGTCTACAGGGATTTCAAGCAACACAGCAACCCATGCTAACATAAAGGCTAAATTCTTAAATCATGATATTCCTATAGATAATTGTTCACAAACACACACAAAATAAAGAAAGATACAGTGAAACTTAAGATAATATGCAACAATACCTAATACCTAAAGTCAAACTAGAACCACTTTTTATAAGGACAACACAAATAATTCCTCCTTAGCGAAAGCCACAGTGGAGGGAAAACGGGGATAGTTTACTGAGCATCACTCTGCCCAAACAGCTCCATGGAATTTGTCTATAAAAAATACAACCCATCTGAAAATGCTGTCAAAGCAAGTGCATTAAGAGAACATTAAATATTCAGCATTGGTACTAGAAATCAAAGATAATGAATTTGGTTGATACAGTGCCTCCTGTAGTCACTGCTTCTGTGATAACATTTCAGAGCTCTTACAGTTGTGTCAGTGTGAATACAACCTGAGTGACTAAACCTGGTTTTACTCACAACGGTTTGCCTTGCCCTCTTGAGAGAGGGTGGCTACCCTTGGAAGACAGACCTCACTGTGGGACAGACTCTGAACCACTGCAGGCTCCAGCTCTCTCTTACAAGGTAGTGTGAATCTTCAGTGTATTCTGGGCTGAAACCCGTGGCACTTCAGAAGAGGATTCATGAGGGGACCTGGTGTCCTTAGTCAGAGGTGGTCGCATCTGTCAGCCAGACTGGCTGGGGACAGCAGCAACTCAACTGTGTGACTGTGTAACATGCCACAGCACGTCAGTCAGCGCTGTTAGGACAAGAGAACAGCGGGTGGTGTAATTTGCCTCACTACTGAGCACAGTCAGGGTCCTCAGCACAGCCAATGAAGAGGAATAGTTGCAGTGGCTACGTTGGGCAGTTTGTTTCTGAGGATCAGAACAGAAAGCCTGGCAGTGCTCTTACACCAATTTTGTATCCATGAATTTTTGTTTTGTAGCCATGAATTTGCTTCTGAATTTCAGTCGTGGTCATCTTGATTTACATTGTTGTGAAGAGAGGAAAGTCAGACACAGTGTCTACTTATACCACCCTTTACTATTTCTCAAATACCACTGTATATCATGCCAGGCAGTTTTAGATACCACACAGTATCAGCAATGCTCCTAGAACAGGGGTAAAAGTGTTGGAAAAATCCCAACTGAACTATTGTTTGATGTCTGCTCCCTCAGTTGTAACCTAGAGCGTACACAGCACGGACAGGGGTACTAAGAGGGAAAGCTGCCTTCTTCCCCACTCCTCCTGAGTAAATCTGAACTGCGAACTCAAACATGCATCACTAATACTTAGCACAAGATGTTAAACATCATGCTGCATAATGAAATATTAATTATTTTTAAAAAGAAAACTGGGGCTCAGTCAGTTGTATGTTTATATGGTGTGCTTGGGAATTGCTAAAGACATCAAAATGTATAGGAGGCGTATAGCCACTATAATCAAGTCTAGGAGCTGCAGGAAATGAACCAGTGGCACTGTTTTTAGAATAAGTGCAGAACTGAGCTGTCACATTAGAGCTGAGAGCCTTGTTTATGCAGCTCTGATCTGCTATGCGAAGATCTGGGTTAGGAGAGGATGGAAATCTGTAGATGCACTATTCCAAGTCTGCCTTTCTGAGCTTGCAGATGAAAATCAAAACCAATGCCTAATCAGAAACATCACAAAACATGGGAAATGTGATAATTCCAGGAACAGGTGTATGATTTAGTCCTTTTTCATGATTGTTTTCTGGAAAAAAAATCTCTCTATATGCTAATGCTATGCCTATGTTATTTCTCTTCATACACTGAGGTAACAGTCAAAATAGCACTGATGGTTCCTACAGCTCGATGAGACAGGCTTCCCTTAAATTGCTGCACAGTTTAAGACTGTTTCAGCCCATGGTCTCAAAAGCGCCACCACTTGAGAGATTTCACAGAGCTAACTGCTCATCTTGGCGGTAATGGGACCTGGCCACACTTGGGAACTTGCAGGATCACGACCTTGGTCACCTTGGGCTTCATTCAGGGTTGATGCTTTTAGCATTCCTAAAAAATAAAGAAAAAAGACCTAATCACAATTTAATACAGCGGAACTAAAAGGCTTGGCACACAGAATGGTATTTAATAGAGAGTATATAGCTGGGCTTTAAAACTGTTACAAATGGTTGCATATTATATGGTAACAAGCAAGCAGTTGATCATACTGCAGCCTGCTGATGATGATTTACAAGCTATTTCTCTCAGGTTTCAGCATTTGCTAGAAGCACATACATGCTTTCAGCCTGTCTTGGAAACAAACGACAAAACACATCCATAGGGAATGTTGCACCATAAAATTGAATTTTAATAGAGCAGGAGGGAGCTGACAGCAAAAATAATCAATTTCATCTATGATGCTGCAGGTCAGCATATTGCAGCTGAGAATATTCTGGCTGTTGCATTGATGTGAGCTCCCCTGTCTAACACTAACTCAGTCCCTGCCAGTCTCAGAGGGGGAAGGGATAATTCTGTGAAGGTGAAATGAAATGTAATACAGAACTAGTAGCTGTATACTTAGTTTCTTATGAATATCTTCATTTTTCCTGGCAGCCAAGTTCTGGTATTCTCAGTTTTTAACCCAGTAATTCTTCCTAGCACCCTGCCCCACAGCTCCCACAGCTCCCACAGCTCCAGACAAAGCAGCAGATCTGCTGCTGCTTGGGCACCTGGCAGCCCAGGAGAGGGGGGGAGTCTAGCCCCAGCATCAGGCACATCCCCAGGGGTGGGTACAGGATAGGAAGGGCAGGCCCCAATGTGTCTTCACTGACAGCCCCTGGGGCTGACATGGGGTGGGTAGGGTAGGGGCAGACCTGGGAGGGTGGGCAGGGACAGTCAGGAATGGTGGGGCCTTTGGGGGCTTGATTTATGGAATAGATCTATAAAATCATTTCTTCTCACTTCATGGCTCCTTTTGCCTCACAACTGTATGGCAAATATTATCCTACTGTTCCTGCCCAAGGTAGTCTACTTAAGCAGACCAAAACATACATGCACACAATATAATCTGCACCTTCTGCAGATCATTTCAGTCATCACAAGATTGGTTCTGCCTCTCACACAATATTAAAAGAAAAAAAGGAGAACCAACCAAAAAAAAAACCCAACACCAAAAAGCCTCTCCATTTGTTACTGTGCTGAGAAGGCAGAGGTGGTGCTCTGCAGGATGGAGGTGCACGTGAAAAGCTCCAGCACAGGCTGACCCAAGTTTGAGCATCCCTTCAGTACAGCATGGAGCTACTATGCTGATTGAGTGGCAGAAGGAGTAACAGAGCAGCACTCTGGGATTAGCAGAGGCAGGTCATGAGAACCCAGCTGAGGTTTGAGACCGTGCAGCTGCGCACATGGTCAGAGATGCACATCAGAACCAAGCTCCAAGGATTTTTGCAATACTGGTTTCACAAGAGAGAGGCAACAAATCAAAACAGATCTTCAATATAAAGGAGAAAATGAAGACACTTCAGGCACCTAGATGAAGAGTCACCACACATAAGCACAACTTGTAGCTAGCTATGCTGTATAAGCATGGTGCTGTTTACGTGGAAACTCACTCAGTGCTTATAGTTCACCCTTTGCAGATGCTCGGTTCCTATCCTAATCCCTGGGTAGATGCAGGCAGAAGGCAGAGCTGAGGTGCAAAATACAGTGAATGGAGGCAGCTACAACTGTGTAATTCTTTAAAAGAAGCAATATAGGAAGACCTGTAGTCTTTTAAAGCTGAAGGCTAACTCTCATCAGGCTTGAGCACTTCAAACTTCTGGTCATGTGCTTCTTTCTTGCCAAGACATGGGTTTTCCTACATACACAGGCAACTGCCAGGATGGGGAAGTAGGCAACTGCCAACCTTTGCAAGAAATTGGGTGGGGAAAAAAAGCCACAGTGAATTTGAAACATGAAATATTTTACTATTGACCAAGAGTTTATCTACTTCTTCTATTTATGACCTGGCAAGAACGAACCCTCTCAGTGTTTTACTGGGAGATGGTGGATAATGGAGTTGCTGGCCCAACTTCTCCCTTGTACTATAAGTAGATAAAAGCCATTTTCTCTGGCTGTTGGGAAAGACCCTACATCCCACCTGTGAAAGGTATTGTACTGTGAAGACATCAGCTCAACGGGCACTGCATTTGGATGGGAGAGTATGTGAGTGACCCCAACAGAGGCTACAGCTTTTGATGCTCCCCTGGGGGAGAATATCACCCCATCCTTTCACTCCTCTGAGTGAAATTGCCTTGACTCCAGAATAATGTAGGTGCTTCTGCAGATGATACATTTGTGCAAAAGGATGATGGCTTGAATTTGCATGTCATTGTTTTGTAGTAGTATTTCAAGCACCTGTCAGATACATGGGGAAGAAGGCATTCAGAATGACAGAATCAGTAAATGAACTAAACTTGGTAGCAATAGCTTCAAACTGTGGGACTTTTGCAGACATGAAACCAACTTCCGTTTTTTTTCCCCAAATCAAACAAATCTTTTTCATGATTAGCCTTTTAGTGAAAAACCTAATGATACTCGTATTACATGCTTAAGGAGCCACTGGAATTATGTCAAGAAAGTCTGTTGTGACAATCTTATTATTTAATTTCTCAAACTGTTGCTGTCTTCCAGGTTCTTCATCTTCTCCTTTGATCCCGAAGTATGTCAGCAGTCTGTAGTCTTGGCAAGTTTGCTACTTCACAGCAGCCAGCTGGTAGGACATCTCCCGAATGCTGAAACTGAGAAGTCTAGCCTGATTCCTTCACATGCTGTCCATTTAATTCATTAATACATGTGTTCCTTAAAATATCTATTTGAAGTGTGCACTATATGAATTAAATATGTCATGTGCAATGCTTCTAGGAAGTCTCACATCTCTATGATGCTGCTACTGTGATGACTGGAGGAAAGATGTCTTTTTCTGCTGTATTGTCAGGATCCCCATTTTCAAATACAGTATTAAGAAGAACAGAAAGTGGAATGGAAGGTTAGACTTAGTATTAATTTGACAGCTAATTAATGAATTTGACACTTTTATCTGAAAGCTGGGAATGTATTCCTGTGGTTTTTTTTTTACTGTGGAAAAAACAGAGCATAACAGACAGATCTGAAGTATCATATTTTGGGGACAGCATTAACATGCTTTTTCATTTGTGGTCTTTTGAGGGGTTAAGACCACCTATGGTTGGTGAAATTTTTCAATGTATGAAGAGGACAAGGTGACAGGCCAGAGCAGAAAGAACAGCCAAAATCTTGAAGCTTGCAAAAACTACCTGCTGTCCTGTGGCCTGTTATTCTGCAATAAAGATGCTGTGTGAGAGATGAGCCTGGCCTTTCTGGTGCATCATAATAGAGGAAAAAAGAGATAGGTGTTCTGTTTATCTGCTGTGAATCAACAAGAAGGAGGTCAGCAGGAGCATGAAATGAATTTTTATGAGAATGTTGGATGTCAAAACCTGCTCTCTCTCTTGCCTGGGTTATCACTCCAGCTCTTCTTCCTGTATTTATATTTCTGACTTCTAGTAGGAACAATTAAGAAGAAACAATGAGCCTCTGCTGTCCTGACATAAAATCTGCAATAAAATCTAGCCTCTGGAAGAAAAGCTTAGAATCCACCAGGGAGAAAATACATCCTCATGATAATTGTTTAGCAGTGGCAGAGCACTGAAGACACTCTGAGGATATGAGGCATGAGATTATAAATCTAATAAAAATGTCTGTAAAGTAGAAAGTAATTGAGATGTTTTAGAATACATTCAGGAACCATGAACTGACACAGTAGGACAAAAATTTATCAGTCTACTTGAAAGGACAGAACCAGCAGCCTTGCAGCTTACCCTTCAAGGACAATAACAAGTTTTATTTTTTCTGCACTATACCTTGGAGGAGGTTCCAGTTTTTAAAGCACAGTAGTGCCAGAACAGGTTCTGGCAAACATGAATAATTGAACAGAAATGCAGAGATTCTCAAAATATAAATGAAGATTTTTGGAAAGCACTCAGAGGAAATATATAGGCTAGGTTTGCTACTCTTGGATTCATTTATATCACTAAACTTGGCCTGTCTCCACTGAGATCAGTGAAGTTCTGCTGGTGCAAAATTTCAGCAAAAAATAGCTGTGAATCAGATCCAGTATTTGCAGGGGTCATCGCTTAAGAGAAGAGTCTGTGGGTATCCTTACAAGCACTGATGTAGATAGTATGATTCCGTAAGTATTAACAGAATTACTTAAGACTTCCATCAGTCAATGCTCTGAGATCAGAATCTGCTCTTCCCTTTTGTTCCAGTGACACATTACCACTCTGTGTTTGTGTTTATTGCCTTAGACACTAATGAACCTCAACACTGTCTCCAAAGACATAGTGCAGATTATGAAGTCTAATGACTTCCCAAATTTTTCGTTCCTTGAAGAGCTCATCTATGGACCGAAGCCAGGTCCTGCCCTCTGCCAGTAGCTTTAAATTGGCAGCAGCCTCAATAAGTAGATTGGGAAATAAAAAGAGGAAAAGACTAAGACAAGGTGCAAACTGAAGGGGTGTGGGGGGCACATGACAAACCAGAAAAAGACTCTTGAGTAAGGAAAGAAAAGAATCTGAGTCAGTAAAGCTTTGGAGGAAAGAGAGAAAAAGACAAAGAAACCATTAAAAGATGCACCAAAAGATAGAGAAAGAAGGGTACTAAAGAAACAAAGAAGAGTGGCTGGGGAGAAAATAGGGGGATTTCTTACTCATTGTTTCTTGAAACAATTTTTTCTTCTTCATCACGTGTTTGCTGATCATACAGGAACTGCTTTTTAGTTTTTGAATTGTACTAAATCTTCTCCCACGGAATGTATATAGGCTTTGGGCTGGGGCAAGGGAACAAAGGAGCTATCAGGTCTCGTGTCTAGACTGGAATACTAGCCATAATCTTTTCCTTTTCTGTGGTTAAGTAGTATTTGACTTTTATCTTAGCTGACTTTGAAATGTCAAGAATAGCATCAAGGCTTTGGCCTGTTTCTAGTGTTCACAAATCCCAGGCACTCAAAAATGGAAAAGAATTTACTTTCTTCCCCAGAGCTTTGTACAGAAAGGATATTTCCAAAAACAATACCTAGAGAATTAAAAAACCAGGCAACAGAACCTCCTTTTTACCCAAGCAGCCTCTTTTAAAGCTGAAGACAGTGTGCACAGTGTGTCATTAGTGCCATTGCCTGAGAAGTGCATGTTTAAGAGCAGCTTTACACTCCCCATGTAAGCCTTTGAAAAGAAGGCTTCATTCAGACAATTCCTTTTATATATCCGTGCCTGCATTTCTTACTCTCCCACACTAGGAGAACAAAACCTATTTATTTAAACTTCTGTTTACTCCTGCTGGCTAGTCCTTATTTCACCAAGGCTGGATGATATCCAGTAAGTGGTTCAAGACACTTGAGATGCAGAAAACATCCTGTCCTGTCCAGAAAAAGACCTGTGGGTTTGCCTGATTTGAAAAGCCATTGACTATTGATGATTCATTATTACCAAGAACAGAAATCAATGCTGCTTGACACTAGAAGGCTAATCATCCAGTCCAAAGACATACAGCAGTTTGTTCTCTAGGCTTAGTGGTTACGGGATTTTGAAGATAAAGATCACATTACTTTCACTAACATCCTCTCCACTTGCATTGATTCACTGGTTCTGACCCAATTTAAATAGCTGCTGCCTTTGAGCTATTTATGTTTGAAACAATGCCATGTTTCAAATGAAAACATAGAATCACAGTTTCCAAGCTATATGAAACATTCATTTCCAGCACTCTGTGAAAATATTGGCTCCAAAGCTAATTCAGGAATTGAAAGATAGGGGTGAGAATTATCAAAATAGTGTAGTTTCACAGGATGGTATCATTAATCTTACACAATTATTTTGGAAATGTTCTGTTTAGGCCGTTAGGTAGTCTCATAGGCAGAGAGAAAAGCATGTATCTAAAGAAGAGAAAATTGAAGAGCAGCAGCTAAACAGGAACGTGAGACAGAAAGGGGGACACATGATCCCTTTGAAGTGCAGGGGGTGAGGCAGAACGTGGGACTGGAAAGGAACCTCTGTATAATTGAATTCAACTCCCTGCGATGACACTGTAATGGCATTGACATTAGGCTCAGATGGATCCTCAGAGTATCCCCCACCTAAATCTCGTACCATAAAGAAGTCTCTGAGACCATGTAACAATTACAAGACTATTAGTGCAAAGGGTAAAAAGCTTCAAAAATTACACCATGGCGTCACTTTGAAGAGAACAGAAGAGATGCACAGTTCTGCTGTTAGCTGAAACATCCCTGGAGAATTTCTAACAGATGGATCCTGCACCATGCCCTGCAGGAGAGCAAAAGCTGCTCATCCTCTGCCAATCTGATGTGAAGGAAAAACTTAATCCTCACATAAACCCCAAATCTGGCAATTAGTTTAGCCCTGGGAATGTGAGCAAGATATGGCAGCCAGCAATCTGATAAATTTGTCAGACTGTAGTCCTGACCTAGCTCTAATTGTGACCCATCTATTACATGTCAGAGGAAGCAGATTCACAGACTGTGGATCTGCCTGTTCCTTGCAGTGCAATTGCCAAATATCCCCTAGAATAGCAGATATAAGGAATAAGGAGCTCAAATTCTATGACAGATGCAAAATACTGATTTCCCTCAATTGCCCCTTGCTTTCTTGCTCAAGGCCAGACCCAAGAGCTGAAGCGCATCCAGAAGCCTGGCAAGAGAGTGGGAGATTTGTGCATTGGAACCAAAATGCTTGCCTAGTCACACGATCCATGCAGCAACTACTGCACCATCCCTATGCCTGACCCAGGGCCTGTATCCCTCCCACCATCAAATAAAATTTTGGGGCAGTGAAAATTCATACTACAGCCCTCTGCAGTCTGTATTTTAACAGTAAAGTGTTCCAGCCTGTCATGGTTTAAGTCCAGTCGGTATCTCAGAGCCACGTAGTCACTCTCTCACTCCCCCCACTTCCTCCCCCTGCTCCCAGAGTGATGGGGAGGAGAACTGAAAGAATGTAACTCCCACAGGTTGAGATAAGAACAGCCCAGTAACTAAGGTATAACACAAATCACTGCTGCTACCACCAATAATAATAATGATAAAAGAAATAACAAGGGAAGAGAGTACAACTGCTCACCACCCACCAACTGATACCCAGCCTGACCCAAGCAGTGATCTCACCCTTCCGGGTAACTGCCCCCAGTTCTACATCCTGGGCATGACGTGCTGTGGTATGGAATATACCTCTTTAGTCAGTTTGGGTCAGGTGTCCTGTCTCTGCTTCCTTCCGGCTTCCCCTCCTCCCTGGCAGAGCATGAGACTCAGAAAGCCCTTGGTCAGAGTAAACATTACTGAGCAGCAACTAAGAACATCGGTGTTATCAGTGCTGTTCCCAGGCTGAAAGTCAAAAACACAGCTCTGCACCAGCTACTAAGAAGGATGAAAATGACTGCTACTGCTGAACCCAGGACACAGCCCTACCCAGGAGTTTTCTAATGTCAGATATCAAAACCTACCTTGCATACCAACACCAACTGACTGGGGCAGGGCTGTACATAAACCCAGTGAAATGAAGCCAGAACAGACCTAGTTTACCCTCTCCTTCTGCGCTCAGCCACAGCCTTTGGCCTTCAATATGTAAAACTGAAACCCTAAACTTCACTTCTTTCTTCTCCTTGGGCCATCACATTTTGTCAGTCTGGGACTCAAATACATCACAGCAGCCCACCCCAGTGTTCAACTTAAACCCAGACAAAAGACAATCCAGCTTAATGACTACTCTCCTCTTTTACTGCCAACACCCCTCCTCCAACATTTCTAGGTCCAACTCAATCCAGATTCTAGAG